AACTCAGGACCTTGTGCTTGCCAGGGAAGTATTTATTCCAGTGAGCCACCTCTCTGGTCCCAATAGTGATCCTCCTGTGTTCAGCCTCCCAAGTGCTGGGATTATAGGCACTCCCAGTGCTGGGATTATAGGCACGCCCAGTCTCAATCACAGTCTCAGCACACCCCAGGGGCAGGTCCCGCAAGGCACGCCAGGGATCCAACGCTGGTCTCTGCGTCTGCCTAAGCAGGTGCTTTAATCTGCTGAGCTATCTGGCTGGCCCTTGGATTTCCTTTTTTTTTTTTTTTTAAGTGAACCAAAATTTTTATTCATTCATTTCTTGCCTTTGAAGTATCCTTCGATGACATCCTTGGCCTGCGATTCTTTGCCATAATCCTTAACCACCACACAACTGTAACCAACCACTTTACGGGGTTTCCCCTCACGGTCAGTCTTACAGAGGCCTACCTATTCTCCGAGTTTCTTGTTGTCAACCTTAATTAGGTTGATTTGGAGCTCAGCACAAAGGTCCTCCACTAGCTTTACATACATAGGCTCATCGCAGTTGGATGCAAGCACACAGGGATGGGCATGGCGTCTTTTCCTAGGTTTCCTGTCGACCGGTTCCCTTCAGAACTTCTGCGCTAGCAGCATGAGCTTCACGCTTTCTTCCCTCAGCTGCGGTTTTGTTCCGGTTGCAACAACCCACCGCAGTACTGAGACTCAGGCACGTACTTCTCTAAGGCTTTGGCGGCTTCGCAAATTCCGCGTGCAGGGCCATCGTGGATGAGGGCGGTCTTCAGCACCTCTTGTAAAGCGGTGTTGACGTCCATCAGACCTCCAGCAGCAATGCCTCCTCGGCCATGGAGGCGGGTTATGGGTGAAGCCGAATCCTGAAAACACCTGAGCCTCCGCCTCTGCGCAACTCAGCAACGGCAGGAAAGAGCGGATTTCCTTTTTAAAAAGGAAGCCAGTTGGCTTACGGTTTGAGCGTTATTATTATTATTATTATTTTTAGCATTATCATTTTTATTTTTAGTTTGCAGGAATCCTTTTCTTTTTGTGGTTGCTTACTCGTACGTCTCTATGCGGGCTTTTCCTAAACTGATCACGGTGGCAGTGCACGTGCCCCTGCGCGGCTGCACACCTTGATGCTGCTCACACAGGTTGACTTAGTTACTCAGAACTGGGTTCTGTGAGAGCCAAGCACCCCATTCTTGGCTGCACTGATCACCGGAGATGGGCCACATTGCATACTCTTGGCTTGGTCCTCAGAGTTTTCCAAGTCAGGTTCTTGCAGTTCAGCCTTTGCAGAGTCAAATGCTGTCCTTTAAAGAGTCTGTTAGAGTGAATATTAACGTTGGCAGTGAAGGAGGCGTTAACTCACATATCCTCAAGGCCCTTGGATATAAAATGAGAAAACAAAGCAAATACATTTGAATTTGAGAAAGTATTGTTTCATGCTTGGACTCCGATGTTTTTTGCTTTTGTTTTATAATTCTTGAATGTAAAGCTGCTATTTTGAGGTTAAAATTGTCTTTTATAACTAGCACAGAAATATTTTGAAATATTGTCTTAAATGAAAAGCAAGAAAGATTGATTTTTCTCCATGTACATCAAGAAACTTTTTAGGAACTCTAATCTGTCTGTTTCCTCACCAAGTCTTCACTAACTAACCTACTGCAATGTAATAACTTTGTAGGGAAGAAACTATATTATTTCCTGTCTTCCTTTCTTACTTTTTCTGTGGGAATGTAATCTGTGATTTGTCACTGAGCATGCTATATGGTGCTAACATAAAAACCACATTTCCCAGTCTCTGTTACATCTAGCAGCAATTGGTACATCAGGTTGTGGCACAGGAAATGAAAGGAAAGTAGTGTGTGCACTTCTGAGCTGTTTCTTGAGACACGATGTGTTAATCTTCTTCCTCGTCCACTCTAGCTGTCTGGGACATGAACGTGGTGGCTTTCCTGCAACAGCTTTTTTGCATATCAAGGTTACCTTGGTAATGTAGGTCATGCAAGATAGAACACTACACAGAGGACCTTGGATTGCTAAATGAATGCATGTTTGTATATCATATGTCCTTGGCTACCCCAAGGACAGGGATTCTCAGCTTTGGCTGCGCAGTAGAGCTAGCGAGGCCAGGAAATCAGTTTCTACTGTAGGCAGCGTTTGTGAAAGCAGGGAATATAGGCTGATGTTTTTCATATTTGTAAATAGGAAAAAAATTTAAGGAACTAGAATTTAGTTTAATCTTTTACAGTTTTATTACTTTTTAATGACACAATAGCTATAGTTCTTTTAAAAATGTCGAGTGTTGTTTCAATGAATGTATATATTACAAAATATTCAAGTCAGGATAAGCATTTGTATCTCCTTCAACATTTATCATTTAGTTGTGATAGCATTAAAAATCTTTCTATGTTTTTTGAAATATACAATGCTTTATTTAATATCACCCTACTATATAACAGAGCACGGTAACTTATTTTTCCTGTACAAATGCCAGTTAGTACCTGTTGTCCAATGGGTACTAGTTTTGAGGAAACACTGCATGTGTTTCCAAAGTATAGTCAGGGTTAAAAATTAACCCCTGTTTAGAACGGGGATCTAGAAATTATAACTGATGGGCCAAAGCTAGTCTATTTGGGGGAAGCCTATGGGTAGATAATGGTTTTTACAATGGTTACAAAAAGGTGAAAACATTTAAAAGAGTAATAGTATTTGGTGAAACATGAAAATTATGTAAAATTCAAATTTTAGTTTTCATAAATATTTATTGGAAAATAGCTATACTTATTTATCTTCATAATGGGTATTTGGCCACTACAACAGTGGAACTGAATAACTGTGTTAGAGATCATAATGGCTCACAGAGGAAAATATGTACTAATTGAAGGCTTAAGAAAAAAAAAATGAGGCTTATCTAGATGATGCGTGCTTTCAGTGTAAGATTAGGATAATGCACTAGCCTTTCTCCATTGTTTTTATATACTTGTATAGCTCCTAGGTTGGTATTTGCCTTAGGTATAAAAGTAGTCAACAAGTCAATACTTATTTATATCAACCTGTGTAATGAGTCATTATCACTTAGGGTAATCTAAAGTAAAAGAAGGTAGATGTCTAAGAGTAAAAATATGTGTTATGCTTTGGTTTGTTCAATTATCCTTCTATAGTAATTACAGACCCAAGCAACAGAATAGTTATTGTGAGCAGATGGTTCATTGTCTCTGGGTTTGGAATCTATGGCACTGAACTACAAAATATTCAAGGGCACAAAAACGTCATCAAATGAGCATTGTGCTGCTGCCTTCTGCTCTGAAATTTGACTGTCCATTACTCTCATTGCTAGACATCTCTTGATTACATTTTTTTTCTTGTTTTTTGCAGAACCTGGGATTGAACTCAGGCCCTTCTGCTTGTCAGGGAAGTGCTTATTCTACTGATCCATCTCCCCGACCCCTACATTTTTTTTTTATCATGTACAAATATATCAATATTCCCACCTGAGTTTACTCTTTCTTGCCATTTAGCACCTGCAGGCATCTATTACTGCAGCTTTGATTACTTCTCAAGGTGGCTTCTTGGATAGAACTGGGTGAGCTATGTGTGGTCCATAGGAAAAATTATGTAGGGAGTGTCAACAGGACCTTTATAGTTGTACCTCAGTTCATGAATTTAATTGTTCCACAGTTCTAGAAGAGTGACCATGTTCATGTGGGAAAGATGGCTGTGGTTGTGTGATGATCTGATGCAGAGTTTGCAAACAAGACCAAAATTTTACTAAATTCTTTTATCTGCAAATCAAATTATTTGCAAACAAAAGTGTCTGTGAACAGAGGCACCACTCTATAAGGCTGCCTCTGTGTTTTGAAATTTTAATTTTCAAAGTGCTCTTGGGTACCACTTCCTCTCACATTGCTGACCAGGGTGTCTCCAAGCTCTTCTCTTTCAGACATTCCAGGTGTGAGTCAGGCCCCAGTCCTCTGTGTTTCGGATCTTCAAGTCTTCTGAGATTGTATCAGTCTCTTCTAGAAGCCCACCTCTCACCCTGGTGTGAAGGGAGAGGCATCATCCACTCTTCACATGCCAAGATGGTGATAACAATGAGAAAAAATCATAACACATTTATTTCCAAAGATGGCCCCTGCAATATTTGGCTTTCTCCTCTCTTGTTTCTGGCACCTTTACACCCTTGATGAAAAGCAGCAGTTTTTGTTTCCATCCCTTGAAGGAGCACTTCTTATTCAGTTTTGTGAACATAGGCTGAAGTTTGGTATTAGTATCAGATATGTAGTGATCATGTTTGCACCACTGATCTGACTGTGGAAGGCTGAATAGAGAAGATGGAGGAGAGCTGGATGCACGCCTTCAGTTCCCTAGGGTGCTGCCTCTGTGCATGGTGCTCCCCCCTCTCTAATTCTATCCATGCCAATGTTTTTTTCCTCCTTACACTGAACAGATTTGACTTGGCTAGCCATCCCCTTTTATGGGTGGTGACTTCCTTCAGGAACTATTAAGATGCTCTCATGTAGTAGTTCTCAACCTGTGAGCATGAATTGCATCAGATGAGGGCATTGTGACAGCAGAAGGTAATTTCAAGGACATATATTTATATTTTATATACATGCAAAATATTGCTGTTGTACATTAATGAAGAATTATTCTTGTACATGTATATTTATTGATTTTCAAGCATAGGTAGATATAATTAAATACAAGCTAGTTTAAAATATTGCTGCACTTATAGTTCTTATTTGTAAGTCTTCATATATTCTCTTGACAAAATTTTTCTTGTGAAAATAGAGAAAAAGGCTTTTGTTATAAAATGTCTTACAATATACCATGATTGAATTTTGTTTAGTGAAATTATGTTTCATTTATAATGCTTTTTTTTTTTACTATTTTTTAAAGAGAATAAAATGATAATGCTGCATGTTCTCATTCAAATGTGGATGATAAAAATTTTGATCACGCAGAAGTAGAGAGAAAACTGGTGCATGTTAGAGCTTAGGAAGAGTGGAGCTTAGAGAGGAAGGAAAGGGGAAGGCCTGCAGCTAAGCAGGGCAGATGGAAGAAATGAGTGCTCTTGCTCTATATAGTAAGATGACTTGGTTTTGTATTTATATGCTTCAAGAACAACCATAAGAAAGGAATTTGAAAGTTTGCAAAACAAAGAAAAAAATGCCAAGTATTTAAGATGACAAAAATGGTAATGACCTTGATCTTTAACCATTATATTGATGTGTGAAATTATCACACACAAGGTGGGCTCTCTAAATATGTGCAATTAAAACTAAATATAAAGATTATAAATGAAAAAGGATGTTGTTATGATTTAAAAGACTGGGAAAAATGGGTTAAAGAAACCATTAAAAACTAAATGTGGCATGAAGGTATGTTTTTAAGAAAAATCTGATGCTCCCACACTGTTTTCTATTTTGTGCAAAACATGTACCAAAAAATAAGTACAGTTTTTTTATTTTTCATACCTCATTATTATAAAATAGCCTAATTTTATTATTTTATTTTACTTTTTATTTTTGGTACTGGGACTTGAACTCAGGAACTTGTGCCTGCCAGGCAGGCATTTGTGCCCTGAGCTATATCCCCAGCCCCAGAATAGCCTAATTTTAAAGGAGATTTTTATAAGGAAAATATTTTATAAAGAAAATATAGACTAGAGTAAAAACCTTTACTTTCAGAGTAAGAAATCACAGTCTAAGATTTTATATTTATTTGTTAACTGATTTCTTATTTTCCTAGCATTAAATTCAGAAAAGGCCAGGGCTGTGCCTACCTTGTGCATCAGCATCTAGTCTTTCCTAAGAGTCTGACTATCTAAGCCTTTCCTGGGTGGTGGCAGTGGGGCCTAAGAAAGAGTACCAAATCACTGATTTAGAATTCCTAAGCTAATGGTTGCTAAAGGACAAAGAAATTCTTGAATAAGATGCAAATGTCTAGTACTTTAATTATAATGGGGGTAACATTATAATTATTATACAAACTCATTAAGACATGGTTACTCTGTGCAATTGTTTATACTTATATCAATTATGTCTCAATAAAGCTTTAGAAACAAGAAGAAAGAATGCAGTAAATATTGGTGAACCATGAAATAATCTCTTCTGGTTTCTTTCCTTCTTAAATTCTCAAAATTCCTAATTTTGTCAAACTGGACTCAATAAATCCATGTGACTGGAAAGTCAGACATAAAGAATTCTTACCGTAGACAACCAAATAGACAATGAGTCCAATGAAGACTGCTGTTGTTACTACTATTAAGGTAGCCAAAGAAATCTTCCCACACCTTGTGAGCTTCATTTTTGCTTTTGACTCTGTTCTTCTGAGTAAAGAGAACAGAAAAGGTGTCAGTATGAGCCTGATATAGGACTTTCAGAAATAAATCGGATGTGTTATGCAGATGTACAGATTTCCTGCAAGGAATGTAAACATTACATACTAAAAACATGCTAAGATTATATACATACATACATACATACATACATAATGCATACATATATTTTGTCATATATACAAAACAAATATGAATTTAATGTTAGGTGTGAAAATGTATTACATTGGTTGTATACTTAGCTGATTAATGACCTTGGGAAATGGACTTTAAAAGTAGTGAATGTGCTGCTTGGCCTATTTATTTGTCAACATATATGGATAATAGTGGAAATATTAAACCACTGTTCATTCATTTAGAAAACCTTTCTATATTGCTACTCTGGAATGTGGGAGGCTCAATAACTCCAGGCCTCCAATCCTATTGCAAGTGGGTTTCCGGGTTCCTCTTCCCCTATCTTTGCTGAGCAAAGCTCCTAATTCTTCTTACCCCGCCTATTTCCCATAAGTCTTCTGCTATGCCCTGGAGATGGGACTTCCTGTCATAGCCCAGTTGCCTAGTTACTCGTGCCTTTTACCTGCCGACATCATTTCCTTATGCCTCCACTATATATACCCAGAGTTTCCTTTGAATAAACGAGACTTGATCAGAATCCTGCCTTGTCTCCATTTCTCGTGTCTCCTGTCCTTTGTCCCCTCCTCAGTTCCCCGCTCCTCTCCCATGTGACCTTCATTGACTGACCCGCTGGTTCGGGACACTGGAATATGTACTTTAGGAACAAAGACCTCTCCTTATGGAGCTTACATTGAACTGAGTGGAGCTAGGCAATAAACAAAACTGTAATGCATAAAATACATGAAGTATAAAGACATTAGGTGCTACAGAAAAAGAGTAGAACTGGACAAAGGTCAGAAGTGCAAGGGTGTGTGTGAGGGGATGGGGTGGCAAGGGAAGGGAGATCTGAACAGACTTAAACTGATGAGGTGTTAGCCATGTGGCTATCTGGATTATCACAGAGAGGGAGAACAACTCAATGAATGTCCTGAGAAGAGAACAAGAGGGTATGGGAGGAAGAAATAAAATGAACAAGGATGTGTCCATGTACCAACTCTCAAGGATGAATGCAACTATTATTTACTGCAAATATGTACTAATAAAAATTCCAAAAAACAAAGGCTTTATGTGCCTTGTGGTTCATGGAAATAATTTTTATTTTATCTCTCTAAGTCAAATGGTAACATTCATTGGCTTTTAGCAGAGCATTGTGAAGATCTGACTTTGTCTTAATTTAATATCTTTGGCTGCTGTGAAGAAAGAAGTTGTGGAAGGCTAAAGTAGAAGCAGCATGACAAGGTAGAAAATGACTGCAGTTATCCAAACAAGACGAAAACTTGGACCATGTAAAAGAAAACATGTTGAAGTTTTAGTATGTTCTGATTACAAAGTCAACAGGGCTTTCCTAACATATTACTGTACTGTGTGAATGGAAGAGCAAGTCAAGGATGGCTTCTAGGTCTTGAGTTAGAGAACTCAAAAGATGGAGATGGTGATGAACTGAGGGGATGGGCATAAGTTGAATGTTGTTTATTTTGTTTGTAGAAATATTCAGTAGCTATTCAGATGGAGATATGGGATGGGCATATAAGTTTGAAATATGGGTTTTAATATAAATTTGCCACTCATCAACATATAGATTAGACTCTGAGACTCAATGAGATTAACAAGGGAATGCATATAGGTAGAGAGAAGACCAAGAAAGCATCACCAGTGCACTCATTAGGTTAGGGAGAGGAGGATGATCCAGCAAAGGATACAGAGAGGAAATGACCAGGGAGGTGGGAGGAGAGCCAAGAGAAAGTAGTACCCTGGAAGCAATAGAAGTGTGTCAGTGATTAGGGAAGCATTTGTGCCAGATGAGAGCTCAAACTGGATAAGCCAGTGGACACTGACACTAGCTTAGCATTTAGAGGTTACTACTGATCTGATGAGATACAAATTTTAGGAATTAAGGTTATAGGATCAGTTAAAGATAGATTAAGAGAAAACGGGAGTTAGAAAATCCAAAGACAGTGACCATTAAACTCTCTTCCAAAGAGTTTGCTAAAGAGATTGATTGGAATGTTTGGGGAGAAAGTGGCATCAAGAGAATTTTTGTTACAGATAAACTTTATTACATAGAGAGACTATTCAATAGTTATTATGTAAGAACCAACATTGTGAAAATGGCCATACTCCCAAAATTGTTATACACATTTAATGGAATCCCAATTAAATTAGTATATGCACAGATCTAGCAAAAACATTCTTAAAATTCACCTGGAACCAGACGAGACCTAGAAAAGCAAAAGCAATCCTGGGCAACAGAGGAAAGGTAGGAGGCATCACAATTCCTGACTTGAAATTATACAAAGCTGCTGTGATAAAATCAGCATGGTACTGGCATAAAAACAGACCTGAGGCTCAATGGAACAGATTACAAATTGTAGACACAAGTACAAGCACACTCAAACACCTTATCTTTGGCAAAGGGGTCAAATATGTTCATTGGAAGAAAGCCTGTTTAATAAATGGTGCTGCAAATACTGGCTTTCCAAGTGCTGAAGGCTTACAATAGCCCCATGTCTATCACTGTGCACAAAATGATAGTTAAAATGGATCAAATATTTAAATATTAAAACTGTGGGGCTGTTGAGATAGCTCAGTGGCATAAAGTGCCTACTAAGTCAAGCTTAGGCAGACACTGGGGACCATGGTTCGATCTCCAGCACCACATGCTGCACCAGCCCTTCCCTCAGGGCAGGCTGAGCTGCCAAAAAAAAAATTAAATATTAAAACTGAAACACTAAATCTTCTGGCAAAGAAAGTAGATAGAAACCTTAAGGATATAGGGATAGGTAAAGAGTTCATGAATGAAAATCAAACTGCAAGGGAAATACTTCAAAGAATCAACAATTATGATCTCCTGTTTTTGAAAAATTTCTGTACATCAAAAGATATCAGCAACAGAGTAAAATGAAAATCCATAAAGTGGGAGACAATTGTAGCAGGCTGTCTTTCAGAAAAAAGACTCCTATCTAGAACATATAAAGAATTAAAAAAAATCAGGCCTCCAAAATTCAAAGAATCAATCCAAAAATGGGCATCTGAGAATATACATTTCACAAATGAAGAGATACAAATGGTAAATAAATACGTGAAAAAATTTTCAACATCACTGGTCATTTAAGAGATGCAAATTAAAATAACAATGAGGTATCTTCCTATGCAAGAAAGAAAGGCTGTCATCAAGAAGTCAAGCAATGACAAATGCTGGAGAGGCTGTGGCGAAAAAGGAACCCTTCTTCACTGGAGGGAGTGCAGGCTGGTACAACCATTATGGAAATCAGTACGGAGATTCCTCAAAAGCTAGGAGTGGAGGTCCCATTCAAATGATCTATTCCCCTCTTAGGTATCTTCCCAAAAGAAGTGAAATCATAGCACAGTGATATATGTGAATCCATATGTATGGCGGTGCAATTTGTCATAGCTAAATCTTGGAAACAATAAAATGTCCATCAACTGAGGAATGGATAAAAAAGATATATATTTATACAATGGAGTATTATTCAGCTATCAAAAGGAAAAACTTGAGGCTTTTGTAGATAAATGGAGGTGGCTAGAGACTATTGGTAAGTGAAATAAGTCAGATCCACATGTGCAAACATCGTATTATCTCACTAATCATATTATCTCACTAAAAGGTACAGCAAGGCCAGTGAGCTAGCTCAGCAGTCTAAGCACCTGCTTAGGCAAGTGCAGGAACTAGGGTTCAATCTCCCACAAAACATGCCGCACCACTGCTGCCCCTGGGCACACTGAGCCAGCCCTTGTCTCATTCCTCTTGCCTCTGTAAGCCCTCGCAACCACAAGTTCATCTTCCCTTTCTAAAATTTTGTCATTTAAAGAACATTCTATGCATGTAATCATCCAATCTGCAACTTTTTGGAATTTGATCCTTTTTGGTCAGCTTTGGAGTTTTCTCCAGAATTATTTGAAGACTGATAGGTTATAAAGTTTAGGCACGAATGATATGGAGAACTTGGAAACAGTAGGACAATAGTTAAATAATAATATTAAAAGCTTGTAAAATAAACTGTCACATGATTTATGAATTGAGAGGCAACTTTATTCCAAGGTAATTTTTTTTAATGTTGTAAAATAAAAACTAGAGTTTGATCTACAAAGATATACAGACAGTATCTCTTTAGAATTTAAATATATAACTAACTTTTCTTGAGACAGGGTCTCATTGTGTTTTTCAGCCTGGGCTTGAACTCACTGTGTAGCGTAGGCTGGCTCCGAATTTGACATGATCCTCTTGCCTTCCTCCCCTAAGTCCTGGGATTACAGATGCGCACCACTATGCCTGACAGGACAGTTTATGATCATATTTATTGAGGATTTTCTATGGAAAAAATACTGCGCTAGGCATGAAATGCAAAATGATGAACAGGATTACTAATAAGTTTAAAATGAAGAACTATAAAAATAGCATTGCATTATATATCAGCTGACTGGGGCTGCCACAACAAACTCCCACAGAAGGGGAGACTCCGGTCGCAAATTCCTACTCACCGGGCGGGGTGGGGGAAGTACTGCGGATTGGTGCGGGGCGGCCCGAGGGGGTGGGAGAGGGTCCGGCCCATGCTGCACCTGGGCTGGGACTGGTCCTGCCTGTTCAGGGTAGCAGGAAGCCCTCCACACAGTCACCGGATCTGGGCTAGGACTGGGTCTGAGTTTTCCCGGAACTCAGCAGAAATTCCTACTCGGCGTGCGAGGTCGGGGAGGTATTCAGCAGGTTTTTGACACTAACAGTTAATTGGCAGGATTCTCACCCTGACTCACTATATATGCTGATACCTGTGAACTAAGCAACTGCACTGAATAGTAATGTGCAATACTAGGGTCATACTTGGAATGCCTGTCATTCTGGTCTTCTAAATACATACTTTTTGGCATATCCTATCAATTACTGCTATACTGCCTCTCAAGTGAATGCTTATTTTAAAAAAGGGTAATAAATGAAAGCAAAAAACAAAAAAAATGTCACAGGACTGTCCTGCTACAGTGCTGTATATGGTTAGATTTCTAAATTTCTGTGTAAAAATATGTAATTGTCTATTCCAACTTTTAAAAAATATTTTTTATTTTTTTTCTTCACATTCTGTAGGGATCTAAATTTTAACATATCAATACTTGACGGAAAATACCTGTTCCATGCTATGTCTAAGATGTTTGATATTCAGACAGATAGTGAGGTTAAGTTCAACTGCCTATGTTATAGGGTAATAATATCATTAAGTTTCTCTTCTGGAGGATTAACAATGTAAGTTTGCAGACCAAAAATTGTAGAAAAAGAAGGCTTACAAGGACAGCCAACATTTTGGCCCTAACTTTTCAAGGTCAGTGAGGACTCAGGACATAAGAGAACCTATACTGTAGCATCATGTAACTCAGTGACATCCCAAATTTTCTGATCAAGGAGAGTATGGGGCCACAGAGGAAAGTGATCGATGATGTAGAGTGTGCCTAAGGAGAGTCACATGGACAGAAAACATTCTTTCAGACTTTCACAGAAAGCAAATTGGTCAAGTAATGGCCATGACTCATCCACATGGCTGACACTGACAAAGGATCTACAAACTGCAGTACAGGGTTCAGGGTAAATCTCTGGGGATTTGATGGTCTTTGTCAGATACAGGAGTTACATTTCTTGTTATATAGGTCTTTCTTTATCTTGGTCTTAACCTTCCAGCAGAAAAGTATAATAATGAGGTATGAAAAGTAAAGCCATGTTAATATGTTGATCTGTAAAGGACCGAAATCACCAGTTCTGACACTGCTAGTCCTATAGATAACCCACTACTATTATGGACTAGTGTACTATATTAGATTATTTTGCTGCGTTCACACACCTACTATATTTAAATGGCAATGGAGTACCCATCTCTGACAAAACTAAAGAAAAAAAGGGGATATAAATGAAGGACTATTTTGTATCTGTATATACAAAATAGGACAGATACACAGCTATTTTCTCTTAGTTCAATGAGAAGAAAGATTTGTACTAATAGTGTTTGCACAGGATATTATGTATGCATCTTGTATTATGAATAATCACTATGAACACAGCAATATGCAATGTATTAATTATTGAAAGTATCCTAGTAATCTGTTTTGGAACTTTCATTGCCCTTTGTTTCTCAATAAAATTAATAAAAAAAGAAGTGAAAAGAAAAAAAAATGAAGCCACTCAGGTATACTAATTAATAAGATAACAATGATATAAATAATTATTTGCAGTTTTTTAAGGTACAATGGCTTTCACATGAACTGTACTTAAAATTATTCATTATTTTAAAGGATAAAACTCAGGTTTCTCATATATTACTTACAGGCCATAAGAAGCTGAGCAATTTGATATAAGGGATTTAGAACCCACTCCTTAGAAACTGTAATAGAAGATTCTTACTCTAGTTTTGTTAAATAAAAATTAATAAATATTCAATTTGATTGAATATATTTCTGTGTTACTCTGATAGTTGATATGCTAAATATCAATGCAAATATTAAAATGATGTTATGAAAGCTGTGTATTTGGAAATTACATTGCCCAATATCATACCCTTTGCCTCAACTCTGTAAGGCAGCTCTGCTCACCACTATACCCCCAACACCCTTTTCCTCAAATCTGAACGATGGCATAGTTACCAAAACCTAAACTGTTTTTAACAAATTTATTAAAAACACCAGCTAATCTCAATGGGTTGCATTTTCTTGAAGTGCCAAGAAGGATTAATGTATGTGTGATTATTTATCATTGTGTTAATCTGATTACTTTAAGAATCAAAACTGTAAAAGTTATTTGTCTACCTGCATGTGCAGAAACAGTATATGTCTTTGACTTCTAAATCAGTTTCTCTCTGAATAAATGACATTGCTGAGAAAAGACAAAATCCTCTTTTTTTGTTCTTAGTTCCAACTAAAATGTTAAATCATGCTGTTGAAAATATATATCAGCAAAACAATGAAAAATTATTATTTATTTTTAAAAATGAAAATTAAGATTTAAATTTTGCTCTATTGCTTTCTATAGGTGGAGTAGCATATTGCAAATGAAAATAATAGTATCTATATCATCATACATCACTAGAAATAGACAAATATCTTGTGCTCTCTCCGTGTTGATGCTGAAATATCCTCTTAGATGGTAAAATCCCCCATCCTACTCCAAGTTTCAGCAATTATACTTTTCATCTATATTCTCATTATAATGGAAATAGTTCTCAAAAAATTAATACAAACACATTTCAAGGATTAAAATTTATCCAACTGAATTAGTTTTGGTTTTCTTTTGTTTACAATTCATATTGCTCCCATTGCCCCAAAATGCTTGAGGGCACAATCCTCTTTTAAGAACTTTAAAGCACAAAGGAAGGGACCCTCGTGACTTTGGCCCCTCAGACACTTGCTGAGGAGCAGGGCTAGTCCCGCACCCACCTGTGCCACAGACAGGTCCAGGCCGCCGCACCGCTGCCGCTGTCCCTGAGCCATCTTCCCAGCGAGCGCTGCCTCGCACAATCATGCTTCGTCTATGTAGCTCACAAAATTCTGGGGCTTTTATGCATTTTATGATAATGACGTAATGATAATACTTAGCACTTACACAACTTTTCATCTTCAAAGTGTTTCCAAACATTTATTAGTTAATTTTAAAACAATAAAACATGAGCTGTATGTATCACTCCATAAAACACAAAATAGTCATATGACCCAAGTGGGGACTAAATTTAAAACCCAGTTGTGACTGTGCAAGCAGGAGGGCCATGTGGTTCAAGCACAGTTTTGGTTTCTATCCTTTGGAAGACTAGTGGCTCTGCTTCTCTGTCTCTGAATTCCTCTTCCAAAAGTGATGCGAACTTAGATTTGCGCTTCGATGAAGTCAATGGCTCTTAAAACGCTAACTGTCCATTAGGATCTGAATACTTTCCAAGTCATAATTCTTTTGCCTCCTTCAATCATGTATCATCTTTTCATGACTACCTTGAAATTCTTACTGCTATGTTAATATTAGTGGCCATTAAAGAGTTTTTGATACTCTGAAATCTGCAGGGTGTTGATTTCTTGTTAAAAAAAAATATGGGTTTAGCCAGTAATTTTCTAAAAAGTTTTGGATATCATTCTATATTTTACCAGCCAACTTTGATATTAGCTTGGAGGCCAGGTGGGGCACACCTTAATGTTTAGTGACCTGGAATGAAGAAAAAGAATTTGCCAGAGGCTGGGGGAACATATGTGACAGTCTTTGCTGAAGGGACTCAGTCTCATTGTATGATCAGATAGCATCATTGTCCTGACTATTTTACCTGCTTTCTTTCCAGAATATGCATAGTAAAAAATTATCAGAGAAATCACATTTATATCGGAATAAAAAGATTCATGATGACTGTGTGCTTATCAGGTACCAATAGTAAGCTGATCTGATCTGTCTGTGTGCTTTAAATATTAGTTAATTGTATTTATTTGAATACCCCAGATACTTTATTTTTGGCAATGTGTTTGAAATACCTATTGTATTCTTCCTACTCTAACTTGTCTATGCAAATCCTATTCTTCTTTTAGTATAGGCCTAATTCTACTTTTTCATGTGAGATTCTCAAAACAGTGCATTCTCATTTGAATCTCATAAATGCTAATAGACCCACAGTATCTTACAATAAAATAGTTATGGAGCTTTGTGTGTATTAGACCAGGAATTACATGGGAAGCTCCCTGAATTATTGTCCTAGAATGATAAAAATATCCAGGTAAAGGTGCTTTCTTCCTTCACTGCTCAAAAAGTATGTATAGCACATCAACTATGGAGTTCACACTATGCTAATTATAGAATTAGAAACAGTGTGCTTATTTACAATCTCCTGGTAAAGGCACTCACATAAACTGGCAGTTAAAGCATATCAAATAAATATTGCAGTGTACATGCAGCTCTGTTGAACTGCATAGAAGTGAAAGCTAATTCTGTTGTTGTGGGTAGTGATTAGGGAATGAGATATTTAGAAGTATTTAAGGAAAAACATAGGATGATACCTTTAAGAGATTCTATAGACAAGTGATATAGAAGAATATTGTATGACAAAATCCTAAAATCCCTATTAAGCCCTATAATTTTATGTATTTTAAGTGTATTCTATGTATGTATGTATGTATGTATGTATGTATGTATGTGTGTGTATTTAGTACAGGGTCTACAGTGTCTCACTACACAGATCAGACTTGTAGTAATTCTCCTGTTTACAGCCTCCTAAGCGCTGGGATTATAGGCATGTGCCACCAGGCCCAGTCTCAATTGTTGTCTCAGCATGCCCTGGGGGCAGGGACAGCATGGCAAGCCAGGGATAAAACCCTGGCTGCTGCACTTTGCCTAAGCAGGCGCTTTAGTCTGCTGAGCTATCTGGCCAGCCCTTAAGTGTATCCTATATTGACCTAATATTTATTATGACGTATTAGAGCACTTTGAAAAATGAAAGGTAGAGACCCAGTCTTAGCCCAGGTCCAGTGGAGAGCTTCCTGCTACCCTGTGCCAGTGGGACTAGTCCCAGCCCAGGCACAGTGTGGTCCGGACCCTCTCCCACCCCCTTGGGCCGCCCCCCACCACTCCGCAGTACCTGCTCCACCCCGCCCGCTGAGTAGGAATTTCTGCTGCGTTCCGGGAGCCCAAAGACCCAGTCCTAGCCCAGGTCCAGCGAGTGTGTGGAGAGCTTCCTGCTACCCTGTGCCTGTGGGACCAGTCCCAGCTCAGGTGCAGCATGGGCCGGACCCTCTCCCACCACCTTGGGCCACCCACCACCACTCCGCATCACCTCCCCCACCCCGCCAGCTGAGTAGGAATTTCTGCCGAGTTCCGGGAACCCCCAGACCCAGTCCTAGCCCAGGTCCTGTGAGTGTGTGGGAGAGTTTCCTCTTCCCCCTACTTCACCTTGCCACCTCCATGTACAGCTCAGGCCTGGCATACACACCTGGGGTGTAACCCTGAAGCTGCAATCCCTGCAGAGAGTGTAGAGGATAGATCCA